TTTCTCTTATTTATTAAATTTTTCTTGGACTCTTATATAAAAATAAATATGTATGTATTATAAACTTCTTCATTTCTTACTAAGGTCTGACACCTGATGAAGTTTCGATTCTGATTCTAGTAATGCCGTTTGTAGCGCCACTAAAAATGATTTTCATAACGTGTTGTAGATGCTCACCGGTCACTCGGGCTCTTTGCTTACTAATTTTCAACTGTGAAATAAATTACTTCACATATAAACGTATTCCTAAACAAAGCAACTATTCTTAGTGCAAAAATTCATAACTGAGCCTATTTATTTTTTGATACGTATAAATAAAAATTTATAAAATCTGTTCAAATATTTGAATAAGATTCATATCACACCGTAAATGAATAAGCTGCATTTTCAGATTTTCTAATGTTATTCAGGTTTGTTTTAATGATAATGTAAATAATGTAAAGTGCTTCAAATAGAAACTAAATTCTTTAAATTTTTGTAACACCGTATTTGAGACAAAAACATCATTTAAATGTATTAGAAAACCGCATAAAACTGCTTCAGAGGCAGCATACGGCCCGCGGTCCACTAGTTTGTGACCACTAATCTCTGTGCAACTGGATTAATATTTAAGAGAAAACGTCCACAATGATTTTGTTTTTGCAACTACTTCAAAGTCGATGTTAGCATATATTTAGCGCAAGTATTTTTTATTTATTTATAGAATTTAGTCCAATTAACAAAGAATAAAACTGTGGTTAAGAAGCCTCAGTAAAATGACGTTTCCTATTTTTTATGTTGCAAAAGTGACAAATATCTGATTATTTAGCTCTTCATCCTTTCTCTGATAGTAATTCCTTTGTCTCTGTTATCTTGGGTTTATATCAGCAGTTTTGTACTCTACTCCACTTATCCGAGCTGACTGATTGTATTTAAAGATATATTCCTTTTAATCATCTTAGATGTCGGAAGTGATGCTGTTTGGGAAGCTTATCGTTTCGTATTACAATGAAGAATTCGAGTATGATTAGTATTTTCAGGGTATGCTCTTTATTCTGTCACATGTGAGATAAACTGGGTGAAATTCCCATTTAGATAAAAGTTTATACTTGATTAAAGTCCACTTCTATCCTTGAAAATTACCTAAATAGCAGAGAAATTTGACTTACAACAACCCTACTTAATCAGTCAAAAATCTGTAATCTCAATTCACATAGGAATTTTTAATCTCAATTTCATTTTTCCTAACTTTTGTTCTGTCTGAAATATTATATTTTTTCCATTTTCGTTCTTGATTTTTTACCTGTAAAAAAACGAAATGCAAGAATGTAAATTTTCGGAATTAAAATGTTCGGGGACGTTCGCAGCAAATTTTCCGGGGGTCAAAGACTGATTATAAGTAATTATAGCAGTAAATTTTTACTTAATTACTTATTTCGCAGAACTTCAAAGGCATATTTTGCATCAATTAAAAAACCTACTGCATAAATATACTGAGTATATACACTCTTAGACAAAAAAACGACGCACCAAGAAGGACTTATTCGAATGGGACGAAAATCGGTAGAAATGATGTACACGTCCAGAAAAACAAATGATTACAGTTTAAAAAAAAAAATTGGATGATTTATTGAAATGATAGAGCTTCACAAAGTGAAAAAGTCATAACTTTCAGATTCACTAGTACAACCTTTTCTTTTACTTTTAGAATCACTATATCTACTATCACCACGTGGAACAGAAATAGTCTTAGGGCTTGCGTTAACTGTGCCTGTTTACATGTGTCATTACTTTTAACAAAATTTGAATAATTTGGAAAGTAAAATGTGCACTTACCTTCTGAAACCTCAATCTGCTTGGTTAGCATTCGGACAGCAGGCGTATACGCATCAGTTTAAACATCCGGAAAAATAAGCAATCGTTCAGCGGGTAATTCTTGGTACGTACGTTTTACATCATCACGTTTAGCCTGCAATAAATGAAGTTCTTGAGACGCACAAATATCAAAGTTAACCAAATCATTAGTTCAGTATCCGTTATCAAGAGAAAGTCCATGTCCATTATTCATTATGTTAGAAATAGCAGCCAGCATTCATTATGTTAGAAATAGCTCTTGTGAAGCTGAATATTTGAAACTGTGTACATGAGGTTATGCTCTTGTTTATTTTGCATTTGTTTCGTTATAAATGTATGACGCATAAATGCTACTATCATTTTAGTAGAAAATCTCGTACTGTTTGGGAAGGGATGCCTTCGTGGAGGACTTTCTAAGAAAAACCGGCTCGTATACACGTTACACATGGGGAAAACCACGAAAACGCCCATTCAGCCAGCCCGTTCGCGGGATTCGAACCTCAGACCGAACTACCAGTGTTCAGTGACTTTACCGCTCAGCCGCTGGTGGGTCAAATACATATTATTAATTATCTGATTGTACCTATTGTTAAAATTAAAAATTATATATATGGATATATTAAATATTTTCTTTCTAAATAATAAAAATTTCTTAATAAGATAAAGTTTGAAGAATATTTCTTGTGCATGCAATACATTTAAGAGCGAGTATTTATTAATGTGAAATTTAACACACTAAACGTATAGGAATGCAAATTTGGAAAATTCACTTTGATCAAAACTGTGCATTGGCTATTATTATAGAACATCTTTTTCATATAGACTACAGTAAAAAATTCTAAGGTTTTCCACTATTTGCACATATAACTAAGCTTACATTTGATCTAACTTCGCACTGAAAGTTTTCATAAGAAATCCCCGATGCTTTAATTATTTTATACAGAAAATTGCTTGGTAAAAAAATTTCCAACCATCTTGATTAAAGCGCGGTGAGGGACATGTGAAATTACAGATATGGTACTAGAAACCCATTAGTCCATTCTACAAGCCGCTCCCACGGTGGCGGTGCAGATGTGCACTTTCGAAATATGCTGCCGGTAAATCTTGATTAAAATCTGAGGTAAATAAGATGATTGAGGCCAAAACCCTGAAAACATTACGAGGTAGAGCCTGAAAATCGTCGGCGTCCTCAGAGTCACTATCACTGTTCATCATAAGAACCACTAAGTTCAGCAGAGCACAGAAATCGCGTGCCCACATACTAGGCGTCTAACACGCAACTTCGTCGATAACAGACCACGGCCAAGGGCCGTAATCAGAAACTTAGATTTTTTTTTTTTTTTTTTTTTTTTTTTTTTGTATTTTATAATGTGCTTTGTATTCTGCAATACCCTACTTATTGGCTACTTATTGGCTAACCGTTCCTAAAAGTATGGTATGTGTACTGAGTATTCTCCTCTATGTTCCGTTTCTTTTTGTTTTTTGATTTCCTCATACATTGATATTTATACTTATTTATTTTGGGGTCGAAAGGTTTCTTATATCGCGTAATCTTAAAAAATATGATAGGTTAGAAATACGGGTCTCGAACGTTGCGTTATGTTATGCGTTATAATAAGAACAATTAATTATTTAAATGCAATTAAAGTCCAGATGTAAAAGTTTAGAAATGGAACTTGTAAAGTGGTAGTAATTTCTGCCTTCTTCAGTTCACTGATTTAAAAATCTGCGAACATATAAAAACATTACATTTCAATTTGGAGTAATTACGTAGATTCAGTGACTCAGTGCATTTTAGACGTCAGTAAACTTTCCGCCCCCCCCCATTAATAATTGAGCTTTATTGCAATGAATAATTGCATTTTTCCCTCCGTGGTTTCGTGCTGTAAGTGATAAACATGTCCAAATGGGAGTTAGAGAATCCGTAGTTCGAACGTCGGTGAAGGCACAGCTGATTTCTTAAGTTCCCTCAGTCAGAAAATTTATAAAATTCTACACTAGGACCCGAATTAAAATATGATAGACGATAATTCCTGAGCCTAGAGCTTCTCTTCAGTCATCTTTTTATGTGGGGAGAAATTGTAAGTAATTATCTCATTCCTCCTTGCGTGCTCTCATGGTGTGAATGGAAACATATCCTACCAGCATCGGAAAATTAGTGGTTCAAATTCTGACGAAGTCATAACTAATTTTTCAAGTTCCTTGGCACCGAATTGTTTTATGGCCTCTACATACTGATCGAGATGAAAAGATCTGCAAATTTCGTTTTGCCATATTTTCCGAAAATCAGCAGCAAATGTTCACTGATACACATATACATTTGGGAAACATGTAGGTAAAGTAATAATCCATATCCCTAAATAACTTGGGACAATAGAGAACTAATATTATTTTCAAAAGTAAGTATGCTCAGGACGTTAATTTTCGGTACGTGCAAATTCATGAATTTTATTCCTGAAAACATTAAACTTCCACTTTTTATATCAGTTTCTCACATTTTTAAGTTTTATTATCTTAGTATTAAATATCCGGAAATAAAACAATATGCATTCTACAAAATAAAGCTAAGGAATATGTATTCTGTAGATTAATCCACTAAAAGAATAAAGTGAAAAAATAAAGCTTAATTTCATTTTTGTTGAATGTTCTACGTATGGTAACACATATAAAGTACTTTTATTAAAACGTTGGTTTTGAATAAAATATATGACAATGTCGGGTTCTTATTAATTAGCCATGAAATGCATTTTATAATTAAAAGGACATATTATTTTACTTGAGCTGTTTGATAATATTTCATACATTTTAAAATGCTCTACAAAGATTCAGAATACAATAAATTATTACAAATAAAATACTTTTTAATTATTTGCATTTATACTGATTTATGAAAGGCGAGATTAACAAGTAGATTATAGAAAGCTGTAATATGCTTTGTCATGCATAATTTCTGCAAACTTGCTTTCGCATACGTACCTTTCAAACTTTCCAAACTCATATCGTTTTTATCTTTTTAGAGTTAAGTGTTCGCAGAGAAATGAAGGGTAGGTCAATGGGAAAATTAGCCTATCGTTGGTTAGAAAAATTATCTTCTTTAGTGATAAGGATATTACATGATAGCAAAAGAAATATATAGGCTTGCGTTTCACATTAGCTTTCTATTCGTATTTTCTACCTAGAATCCTCAGTTCATAAGGCACCTATCAAGTATGAGTCGAGGCACGTTAGGTTACTGGGATATGCGAGGGTTGGCTGAACCCATCAGATACCTTTTGCACTACAAAAAGGTCGATTTTGAAGATAAACGTTACGCTTTACGTGGCGACGACTGGCAGAATGATAAATTTCAATTAAATTTGGATTTTCCTAACTTGCCTTATTACATTGATGATAAGGTGAAGATGACTCAGAGCATAGCCATCTTAAGGTACTTAGCAAGAAAATATGGTCTAGCTGGGAAGACGGAAGAGCAAAACGTACGTATAGAAATGGCTGAACAGCAAATCTACGATTTCTTTTCAAGTTTGAATCGTACCTGCTATAATCCAGAATTTGAAAAGTTAAAGGCAGAGTTTGTGAAGAGTGTTCCAGCTCAACTTAAGCTTTTTGCTGCATTCCTTGGAGATAGAAAATTCCTAGTTGGTGATGAGTTGACTTATGTTGACTTCATGGCCTATGATACATTTGACTTCTATCGCCTTCTCATTCCTGGAGTTTATGACGATTTTCCTACTCTCAAAAGCTACTTAGATAGAATAGAAGCTCTACCTGAGTTGCAAGAATATTTCCAGTCTTCAACTTATAAGCGATGGCCAATTTTTAGGCCTGTAGCTTATTTCGGAGGAAAAGGCCCAGAGCCAAAAAGAGTGTAAATTACGTGTTTTGTTTTAGAACTCCGATCACATCCATGGACCAATATTAGCTGGTTTATTTGAACATTTAAAAAATGAATTTGAATTCATCTGTTCTTCATGACATTGTGATAGAATAAATAAGCATAACGGTATGTAAATTTATTGAATCAAGGTAATAAGCAAAGCTTTCTCTGATACACCTGTCATTAAAATATAACTATAAAAATTTATGCATGTACATGGAATTTTTTGGTAAATTTTGTTTGGAATACTTTGTTCATATCTTTTATTATAACTCTTAAGAAATTTTTTAGTACTTTGATAAAACTAAAATTCTTATTGTTAGTTAAACTAATTTTTAGTCTGAATTGAAACATAAAAAATAGAATCTATAATTTTTAGTTGCGCAAGCGTTTTTCTGTACCTTCTAGCAGAATTTTTACGTGGTATGTAATTGTAAATATCACCCACTAATGAAGTACTTCTGAGATTGTGCTTTTCATAATTTTATATACTTGTGGGGGGGGGAACTTTCAGGATCTCTCTTTCCAATTAAAAGTTTATTACTCCCTATATAGCGCTTTATCATGATTACTAGCTGAAATATCAAGGGATTTTGAAATTAAAGTCTTAAATTTTATTTATTAATTCACACAGCTTTTACTTTAGCTGTTCAACCTTAAGATCAGTTTAGTTACGTATGAGTTTCATGTTTAAATTTATTTCGTTATATGTCTCACCTTTTTTGCAATCTCGACTAGTAACTTTAATTATTTTACATTGTGGTAGTACTATATTGTGGCCTTGAATAATATTTTCTTCTTTGTCGAAAACAAGTTGCATTTCATCTTCTGTGTGAGACACTAGAAGAATAAATAAGGAATAAAGGACAGTAATCTGTCATCAAACAATGTAATATCACTTTAAAAAAAACTTGTAAAGTGCAGAAAAAAATATTAAGAATAATAAAATATGGTTTAATGAAACAGTAATTTGCATACTATATTATAAGAAATAAACATTATTAGTCCATATTTAGTCATAAAATGACAGTTTCGAGGAAAAGGCTTATGTATATGGATATTTAATTTAGAACCTGTTAGTTTGGCAGCCGTAGTAAAATACGCACTTTTACATGGCAAAATGGTTTAAATTATGATAAAACCTAGAAATAAAACAATAGTTAGAAACTTATAAAATTGTAGATAAAACTATAGGTTAGCTGCAATAGTCAAGAAATAAATGGAAAAAGTATTAAAATAATCTGAAATAAACACTTAATTGGATTAAATCGTGGTAAATGATGTAATCAAATAAACTGAATCGTGAGTAGTATCTTTATTACCAAATACATAATAAATGCGTCTAAGTCGTAAAGCTATTTATTTGCAGACAACTGCAAAAATTGTATATTTTGATTCTTCAAAGACTAATGTATATCTGTCAAATTGGAGATCCTCTCTTTTCTTCCTTTTTAATTGCTATTAAATGGATTTTAAGAAAGATAATGCAGGTACATTAACTAAAATTATCTCAGCATTTAACCTCTTATAGAAGAAACACTTTCCCAAAACGAATAATAACTAAATTTCCCTTTATGCAGTTAAGTAGCACATTATTACTTTGTATTGGTTTCAGGATGCTCACTAGCAGCCGAACGGGGAAATTGCTGAATATTGGTAGTTCTGAGTTGGGTTCGACTCCGGGTGAGCAGGCTGGCTGCACGGACGTTTCTGTGTAATGTGTATATGAGTCAGTTTTGCCTAATGTGCTTTGCTATAATCTATCAAATCAAATCAAATACTTTCAGTACACTACTTATTTTTCAGAAAATGCATCAAAATTTAATTTGCAATTTCTGATTCATATTTCCACATAAAATGCATTTAGATTAGGTTGACGTTTTCAGTTAATTTTCTTTAATTGTCTTCCGGTGTTTATACATCATTTATGAATTACTGAAATATATTTAAAATTTTAACACATTTAAAAACAAATTCATAAAAGATTCCTGATTTAACATTTTTGCATTTTCAGTAACATTTCTTACATGATACATTTATAATAATTTGGATTGAGGTCTAGATTTCAGCCTAAATTTTTTTACAGAAGTAGTATCGTCTTTCTAAACAATGCATTAATGGTTACTGCAATCTGAAGTTTTTTATACTAGAAAAATAAAACAGTAATCATATAAGACATATCGACAGAAAAGTTCCAAACGTTAGGATATCTGAAAAAGTAATTACAAGATACTTTTCACTTTACATACTTTCATTTTTATCTTAGACTGATATTTCTGATTATAAAGATTTTTAAAATGAGTTAGAGTATTTTTATTTCCATTTCAGTACTTGAAGCAATATTTAAATTATACTTTTTATGCTGTCTAATCAATGTACAAAGACCAGTTATTTAAAATATTCTTCGTGTGCTAACATGTTAAACATAGAAAGTTGGTGTATTTAATTATGGCAAAGCACACGAAGGTTATCTGCCTAAGGAGAGGGATGCCTTCGTGGAGGACTTTCTAAGGAAAACTGGCTCGTATACACATGGGGAACACCACGAAAACACCCATGCAGCCAGCCCGTTCGCGGGATTCGAACCTCGGACCGAACTACCAGTGTTCAGCGACTTTACCGCTCGTCCGCTGGTGGGTCTTAAACATAGAAAGAAACTTTGAATGCAATACTCAGTTATGTATCTGTAATTACAAAGGAATTATAACAACTGCAAAGAGATAGTTTCTTCAAGTTTTGTTTTATCGAAAATGAAAAGGAAGTAACTCTGCTCTGTGATTACTCCATGAAATTCATGGAGTATTTAATTTCAGTTAAAATATATTTTGAAAAGTGATCTAAGTCAATAACTTTTTTCTGGTACCTTCAATAATTTTCTTGTAAATGTATAGAACTTTACTTTATTTAACTTATTAAACCATAATAAGTATTTAAATTGAATTGTGCGCTTTATAATAATTATAATTCTCAGAAAGGGTTAAGTAAATTTTGTAAGAAGTTAAATTTTGTATTTACATGGCCTTCTCATCTACATTGTTAAAGCTACTTTCAATAAATTATCTACTTTGTTTTGAGAAGCTTTGCAAACTCACAACTCATAATTATCATATCAAATTCTTGCGTATCATACGAGAAAATCCTCAGATATATATGATAGCTAAATAACATTGATATTCTTAGAAAGAAAGCAGAAATATAATATTGAGGTAAATTTCAATAATGCTGCACTTGAAATAGTCACCTTAAACTTTGAAATTGAATAAAAATTAAGGAAAAGATATTCAATTCTGTATGAATGGAATATTCGGTTTCAAATACATATTTTGGCACTGAAAGAACCTCATAATAATTTTGTCCTATATATACACACATTCAGAATTTTCTCTCGTTATTTTCTAGGTTAAATTCAAATTTCACGAAAGTACTATCTACAGATAGAGTGCCGTATTCAGATAGAGTATTATACTTAGAGTGTAAGGTTACTATTATTTTCCATAAAAAGTTATTTATAATTTTAGCCTTTATTAACACTTCGTTTTCCTCTTTCCTTACCAGAATGCGAATTATTTGAGAAGTATTTAAGTCGAGGTTTTTGGATTGTAAGACAGGAGCGTATTTCTGCCTCTCAAGGCCATTTTGCCAGATTCCGTTAGCGCTGATATATTGTAATTCTTCGGCTTTGCTGCCGACATTTAAATTGTTACTCCACTAAGAAGTTTGAGCCAATTTCGCGTTAAATCATTTGTGCAGTTCTTGACTACTAGCCTTAGTTTTAATTTGAATTTGACTCTCACTTTAAGTTACATAGCCACAAGTGGTGGTTGCTTTGAAAGCAAAGTGACTCTAGTTCTTTTCAGATAGAACAATAATTCATTTAACGTCTGTTAGGATATTGAGGCTAGTTAATGTTACCCAAGAAAACTATGTAAGTGCATTCTATCACAATATAGTATCAAACTTAGAGTTACAACTTATTTTTGTATAGTACAACAATAAAGCATAACTATATTTATTGTTGTACTATACAACAATATAGTTATGCTTAGAGTTATGTGGTGCATTGAGAATATACAACTTTTAAAAAGATCTAATGAAATTACTCTTTAATATATCCTGTTGAAAATGAAAAATATATAATTTAAATTTAAGCTACAAAATTCTCCCTTAATTTTAATTCTAATATTTTAATCAGGACCTAAATTTAAGTTCCGCGGAGCATGGTTATGTTTCTACTCATTAGCTTAAACTTCTTCTCAGAACTAACAGTAAAAGTTTTAAAATAAGAAAAGCAAATTTTTTAAATAACTAGAATTTTGATGTGACTAAGATATAATTTACTTCTGAGAGTCTGTAATTATATGGGACACTCATATTAAAAGCATACAGTACGTATAATATGATTTCTTCACGGAACCAAAGAATTAAATAGGGCAGTTTTAATGGCTTTAGCATAAAGTTAATTTTGATGTAAAGGTTAATTAATTAAAGATTTTAAGTCACATAATTAAAAGTAACTTTTAAGGTCGTGAAAATGAGTAATTTCTAGACATTGTTTCTTGTACGAAAACACCTCTTCAGCGTCAAAGCTATTCTTTGCGTTTCTTGAAATTCGAATGTTTGGAAGACAAGCAGCATCCTATCTGATTATAATTGTGGTTACAAGTAGGCACAGCTTTCTGGTTGTTGCGTAATAATTATAAGGAGCTAAAACTCTAATTCTTTGCCTCATTAAATTCAATTTCTACCTCTCAAATATTAATTAAGCTATTTCGTGAGGCATTACTAATAACTGAACTAACTGTTAAATTCATACAAACACAAATATCTACTTAACTTTTATTCTACTTCGACAGTTAGTTGAAAAAGGTAACGTAAAATACTTAGAAAACAAAATTACCAGTTGCCTGGACTTGGTAGTGAAACAAATAGTGTTTTAACAGTCTATTAGTTTACAAATACAGGTACTTTCTAAGCGAGGCTACAAGCTATGAATCGACAACTGAAATATAGCTCAGAAACTTAACTTACCAACAAAGTTAAGTCATGGGATTCTAAACCTTCTCGAACAGCGACTTCTCTAAGAGGCAAGCGTGCTGGGTATCAACCGAACATTTTTTTAAAAACTCATATTTCCATAACGTTATATTTACTGCTTGCCACTCAGATCTGCAATCTAAAATGAGACATATAGGAAAGATGCAAATTAAATGCAACTTGTTAGTAAAACTCAACTATAATACCGCAGTTG